AGAACGAATAGAAGAATATCCATTACTTTAGTGACGGTAATCTCGCCTGGTTAACCAGTTCACTAGTTACCAGCCGGTCATAAGCCCGGGTATAGACGGAAGGTTGGGCATACGGCTAGCAATCCTACCCGTAAAACAAATCTAACCGCTAATAAAAACTTCAAAGCACAAACAAAATATAAAAAAATAAAAACAAAATCATTCCTCACTGGAATTGGAGAGGTTAAATGACGCCGGTTGGTGAAAGTCTTCGGGAAGCCAATTGGCCGATGTGTCTTCTCTCTCTCAATGAAAGCGAAAGCAAACGTGGGCACGTGGAATGTCCGCATCATGTTTGAACCTAGCTGGAAAGCCTGCCCAGATTGCAAAGGAGATGAGAAGGTATCACATTTAAGTGCTTGGAATTTGCGAAAGCAGATGGAATGCGAGTGGACTCTCCAAACTGTCAACTGGATAGGAGTCAATAATCTACCCCGATATTGTCACCCAGACAACAACCATGAGCACACTGAGCTTTGGAGTGGCTATCATGATGTCCCCAACAGTATCGAAGGCTGTCTCTCATACAGTGGAGACCAATCTCCTCATGCAGGATCATGACAGCCAGATGGATTCAACTCGAAAAGAAGGAAAGTCACAATCATACAATGATAAACTATGCACCTACAAATAATGCAGATGACATGAATGCCAAACTGAGAGTGGACAACACAGGAAGAGAACTAACCATGGGTCGAGAAGCGCTCGGTGAATTGATGAACGAGAATGGAGAATTGTTTGCAGAATTCTGTGCATTCAACGATTTAGTGATTGGAGTCAGGCACTGTGTTCAAGCACAAGGATATTCACAAGGCAGCCACGTGGATTTGATTTCACCAGACACCAGAACACACTAAAAGTCAGATCGACTTCATCTCAACATGAAGAGGGTAGAGATGCGACCTACTGGACACAAGATCAAGAATGAGAGCAGATGTAGGTTCAGACCATTATCTGGTCGAATGAATCTTCCAAATGAAGTTGAAAACCTACAAAGAAGTTAGTGATAGACCACGGTTCAAGTTCAACCCCCCGAACAGAAGCTGAAGGACAAAACTACTACGAAAAACTTCACGTCAGCCATCAAGACAAAATGGGAGATATCGAGGTACATCTGTGAAGAAACCTGTGTGGGTGAACACTGGAACTCTTTGCAAGAGATGTGGAGAGAAACCTGCATAACCGTATTAGGAAGGAAGAAGAAAGAAGACAAAGAGTGGAATGGATCTGGATGGACACATGGAAGCTGATAGAGCAGGGAGAGGAGGATGGTGAAGCCGAAGATGAACCAGTGCAAGGATGAACGACGAGAAGAGGAACTGAGTACAACATATAAAACACTGAACGGAGAAGTGAAGAAGAGTGCACGCAAAGACAAAAGACACTTCCACGACACACTGGCAAGTGAAGCAGAACAGGCTACCGGCTGTTAGGAGAGACCTGACAACATTGTATCAAATAACCAGGTTACTATTAAGGATGGAAGAGATCAACACAGATGAAATCAATGAGAGATGATGAAGGAAATCTAACTACCAAAGAAGAGGAACAAAGGAAAGGATGGGCCGACCACTTCAAGAAGCTCTTGAATCGATCACCATCTGCACTTCGTTCGGAAATACCACCTGCAGCCGCATAACAGCGTCGACCGGCAAGTAATTTGACAGGCAACTGCTTCAACACTACGGAATATCACAAACCTTTATCAGCCTCATTCAACAACTATATAAAGATGCCACATGCCAAGTAATTCACAATGGGAAGCTCAGCTCAGTGATGCCTTTGGGTTGAAGTGAAGACAGGAGTGAAACAGGGCTGTCTACTATCCCCCATGATATTCCTGATTGTAGTGGACTGGATCATGCAACAAGTAGTGAGGAGCGAGAAGAGGGGGGGAGATACGCTGGACCGCGGAAAGAACCTAGAAGATTTGGATTTCGCCGATGACTTATGTCTAATGTCACACAGACTCGAAGATCTACAGATGAAAACTAAAAAGTTTGCCGAAGAGACATTGGAGACGGGACTTCAAGTGAATGTAGGGAAGACGGAGGTGATGAAGATACCCAACCAACAACACCATCAACAACAATAGGCACCAATCACCATCAACGGGAGAAACATAAAGGAAGTAGCCTCCTTCACCTACACCTACCTAGACAGCATCTTTTCAAATACAGGCAACGGTGGCACGGACAAGGACGTCAAAGCCAAGATCCGAAAAGCAAGACAGGTGTTCATTAACCTGAAACCAGTGTGGAGATCTTCTGCACTCAGCATAAAGAAAAGAATCCGGATTTTCAACACTAATGTCAAGGCAGCGCTTCTATATATTTCAGAGACTTGGTGGGTTACCAAAGGCATTTCAAACAAACTACAGATGTTCATCAGCAACTGCCCTCTACGCTGGCTCGTTACTGAAGCACAGATGGCCAGAAATAATAAGCAACAAGGAACTCACTCTGGCTGGCTGGCAACGAACCAACCAAGAACCCATCGCTGAACAAACATGCAGAAGGAAGTTGAGATGGATTCGGCATGCACTGAGAAGACTATTCAGGGACACCACGTGCCAGACCATGCACTCGAGTGGAACCCAGATGGGAAGCGACGAGTTGGGCGTCCGGGGCGAGGGTGACATGGATGAGGTCATGTGAGGAAGAAATGAGAGGTTTTGGGCAGTCGTGGATCCAGGTTTGAAAGGTTGCAGAGAAGAGAGTGGAATGGAGACGTGCTAGTGAAGCCGTATGTTCCACTAGGAACCCAAGGGAAAAATAATAATAGTAATAAATTCGTGATCGTATTCCATTCAGATAACCTGAAAATTTGATGGGAAGTTTAGAGATGAACAAAAACATGTAAGTTGTAGTTTCAGCCACAACAAAGGATTTAATCACATTCAGGAATAAAAAACATTGAATATACGGCAATAACATACAACGATAAAATTGAACAGTCTGGAAATTAAGACTGAAAAGGTATCGGGTAAGCTTTGGAATACACTAAACTATTCCGACCGATGAAGAAGTACGTTCGCAGGGTTTGTGATTTGCATAGATGTTGGGTGTGATATGCAAAGCTGATGACTGAGTTATATTCTACCTGAAGGGTTAAAGTTACTGAAGTTGTGTTCCTTTGTAAATCCTAGTGGATTTATTTAGATAAATCAATAGAAACTCTCATCCAGTTTAGTAGTTTGTCGAAGAATGAATTAGACACTGCGCAAACTTTCACCACACTTCATTGGCTGACAATGCAAGACATATTGAGACAGGTTTACAATAGCATCACTGAGCCCATTGATTATACTAGAAGCATAATTGATAGACGTCGATTAGCACTTAGTATTGGAAAACTAAATTCCTTACAGTCTGTGGGTAACGCGGATGCTCTATTTTTCACCAATGCCTCTGACTCATCTTGCAGTTCAAATATTTATTCAGAATTATTGGTCGAGATGTGGTGGTGTATAAAAGCAGATGAAGAAATGACATAAAGATGTGTTTTGTTGGTTTAGGGCAATCAGCAACAAACCCTGGTCAATCTAGTTTCCATGCTTGATGACACTTTTCAGCATGGTGTATCTACTACTACCGAAGGGAACTGATTTCTCCTCACACACATATGCACACAAACATCACCCATTCCAATCTTTTCCAGCGCATACCACCATGATAATCGACTGCATTACTCAACAAAAGTGCGTAGAAATTGAGTTGATTTCCCTCTCACCACATCCTAGTGATGTAAAGCATTCACTTAGAATGTAGAAGGCATTGTATCAAATTTTTAAGTAAAATGAAAAGCCTAACTGTAGATCGATAATACACTACTAAACAATATGAGTAGTTAGAAACCACTGACTCTGATCTTCAGATTTAGCTAGCCAATCAGATCAGAGCGATCTAAATACCGGATGCCAGCTTAGCTTTTTGAAACCAAGTTCACCATATCTGCATAACTGATCATCCTGAGTGGTTTTTAACTACTCAAGTTGTTCAGTAGTAGAATGTTTCACCAGAGATCTCACTTTGTGATCGCTGAGAGGTAGTTTTCAACGGAAGCCCTGTTAACATCCCATTTGGGGATTTGGAGAACTACTCAACTGTTAGAAATGGCAACGTGAACTGTACAACTTGTAAATGGGGTTGGAACTCATTATAGACTGAGATTAGTTGGAGGGACATTGAAAACCTGGGAGGACTGAACAGCTGTTTCATCATAGCACGCGCCCACGACCCCTCGAGGGATCCACAAACCTCTAGAATGAATCTATAAATCATTTGCAAATTGTTCATCCTATGTATACAGATAATCCTAACGGATAATGTTTTCGCTTGTATTATCCCATCGTTGATTGGACCTCACTTGTCGGTCTCTGTTGGCATATGGGCTCCCGTGCGGGTGCCTCAATATTGACTGTTTTATAATATGTTGTTGGTTGATAGCGACTAGCAGAAGAATCCAGGATGCGCATTTCGTCCCCTTCGTAACTCATCAACTGGATGTACTTACCTTCCAGTCCAATCAACTATGGGATAATACAAGCAACAACACTAAAACTATACCCGTCGCACATGGAGTGTCTGTCACGACTCATTGGTGTAGTGGATGACGCTCTAGCATTTGTGAGCGGTCATTCCCGATTTCGGGTCCCGGTGGGAATAACATGACTCACTAGGAAGCAGGTACACATAGCTGACGAATCCCAAATAGGACGAGACGCGCGTCCTGGATTCTACTGCTAGTCACTATCCACCAATAATCCTAACAGATGTTTTCTACAGTGATGATGTTTTTTATGTAGTTTAGTAAACACTATCGTACAAATTGAACTGTAGGCCTTGCTTAAAACTGAGGCTCCTGTCACATTACTGATTCATATTGGTTACTTTATTTCTTTTCATATATCATAATCCTTCCTGATTATTTTCACTGTTTATACGTTGTATATAACCTAGGCATTAATCGATGTTGCTTCTAAGGATGTTTTAATCAACCAGCCTTATAGAGTAATATCACCATTAATACGTGAGACTGCAGCGCATGAATTAGCAAAGAATCCATACTTTTTAGCCTCACATTCAATTAATACGTCAAATGCTGATGATCAGTCGAATGAAAAGATTAAAACCTCCACACCAGATAATGAAAAGATCATTGAAGATTGTAGTATGAGTAAAATTTCATTGGATCAACAGGCTGTACTTTTAGCAAAGTAAGTTGATTAAATACAACTCAATGTTTTTTTCTAGAATAAAGGTTTGACTTCATGTTGAATGGTCGCCGGTCATCTTGTGTTTAATTCTGTTCAAAAATACATTTTTCAATTATTTTCAGCTGATAAGATTGATTTATCATAGCTGAGTTTACTGGTTTCTTTCAATGATTAGTAATATCACCAGGAATTTACCTACTCAGAAAGGTTTAGTCCACAAATGATTAACAAGTCTCATGACCTACGTTGACGTTTCTCACAGTTGAGTAGTTTTTCAACTGCCCAGCTGTTGTGTTAACAGGATTTCAGTTGGAAACCACCACCCAGCCTAGGTCATGGTGTAATCTCTGACATTCCAGAGTCAGAAACTAGTAAAAAATATTTTTACCGAAAGACCTGAGCAGTTAGAAGTCACTCAGACTGGTCTGTAAATTTTGCTAGCCAGCCAGATTAGAGTAATGTAGTCACTAACGACCGTTTCGCTTTATGTGGGCCAGGCTACTCAGTGGTTTATCCTGACAAATCCAGCTCCTTGACAAAATTAGTGTAGATCATCCGTATCTGACTTGCTGAAAATCTGTAAATCATTGGCAAATTGACAATTCTGTTTTAGGAATGTTCGTCAATCCAAGTCAACTAGACAGATTCAAGTGATCATGAATAATTCGGCTCAACTTCATCGGCTTTGAAGAAACCTTCGATAACATCAACCGAGAAGTAATTTGGCCGTCAGCTGCTTCAACACTATGGTTTTAGTGTCACGAACCTTTGTCAAACTCATTCAACAGCGATATGCTGCATGCTGATATATACCATGTGATTCACAATGGAAAGCTCAGTTACACATCTGAAGTGAAGGCAGGGAAAAGACAAGGCTGCCTACTATCACCGATCATCTTCCTAATTGTGGTCACTACACTAGAAGATATCATGCAACAGACAACTGTGAGGAGTGAAAAGAGGGGCATACGCTGGCTGGACCGATAAAAATACCCCAGTAGAAGATATGGATTTCGCCGATGATGATTCATGTCTAATGTCGCACAAATCGGAAGATCTACAGACAAAAACTAACAAGTTGGCAGAGGAGGTGAGGCAAGGCAACGTAGGAGGATGGGATTTCCTTCAGGTGAACGTAGAAAAGACAGAGTTGACTGATGAAGATACCCAACTAACAGCAACAACAACAAGCACCACTAACGAGAGAAACCTGAAGTAAGTTGTCTGTTTCACCTACCTAGACATGGCAGCACAGTTTCAACAGTACGCGGCAACACAGATGAGGATGTCAAAGCCACGATCGGAAAGACAGTAAGACAGACCTTCCTACATTAATCTGAAATCAGTGTGGAGATCTACTGCACTGCACTGCACTACATTGCATTCCACTCCACTCCACTCCACTCAGCATAAAGCGTGAACAACATCCAGACTTTCAACACCAAGTCAGTCATGTCAGTGCTTCTATGTGATGGTTTGGAGACTTGGTGCCTTATGATAAACATTTTCAACAAACTGTGGATATACATCACATGAACAGCTGGTGCCTACACTCACTCGATACTGACACTGACACTGACACTGAAGATCAGGTGGTCAGAATACTAAGAATGAGCAACAAGGAACTGTGGCTGGCTGGCAACGAACTAACTGACCGACAACCTATCACCCGACAAACATGCAGTGGAAGAAAGTGGCGATGGATTGGATTAGATTGGAAGATACACTGAGAAGACTGTTTGGGAGATTTTGTGTACCACGCCAGGCTGTTGAGTCGGCGCATATGGGAAACGGCGAGTTGTAATATCTATAAAGAAGAGAGTGAAGATGCGACATGTTGTTGAAAACCTACTTTCCACTAGGAAACCAAGGGATAAATATTAATGATAACAAAAATCATAATAATAATATGCTTGTTAACAACACTGCAAACTGCGTTGTTACGAAAATTGAATGTAAAGAATATTAATAACGAGAAAATTTTACATTGTTAGTTGGATTATCGAAATGAGATTGTTAACTGCTAATAAGTTTATATGTAAGTTCTGTCCTTACACATTTTTCCTCATGTAATATGCATCCTGGGCAAAGTACAGTCAAAAACTTTTGCTTGGCAGTATGAATCTACAGACAGCTAACTCAAGACCTTCAAAGTCCCACATAAAATAAAATAGACGTATTTCAGTAGACCAGGAAACATCAACGAGGAACAATACAGGAGAATAAGTAACATACAGGAATTAATAAACTGTAAAAGTAGAAGTTAAGTTACACCAAAGAGCCTCATTTTCTTCATGTCATACGTTGAACGAAAGATATTTTTACAAGTCAACAAAGTACGAGACGACCAACAAAGGTCAGAAGTCAAACTCAATCCAAGATAATTAACACTCAATTTACTTTCTGCACAGATACCATCAACGCAACAGGCGTCATGGGACTTAGGCAGCTCAAACAAGTCTGTCTTGTTCACGCCTGAAGCTAACATCAACAGTCTTATATGAGACCATTTGAAAGAGACTTTCGACCTTCAGTCAAGCTCCTGTAACATAGAGTCATAGCTTCATTTGTTTTGAATATACTTTATTAGTTAACTGTGACTTGTCTTAGCCTACATAAATCACGATCGACTTAGTTAATTAGCGATCCCTGGTGAGTACAGCTACTAAGCAAGAGGTTGGTCATACTCACCTAAATCTAAGATATCTTTGTTGGATAATTCAAATGTGAGTAGACGGAGAATGATAAAGTCGAGTGCATTTAAAATACACCGATTCATCTTTGTCCCTCGTATCAGTTACTTCTCGAATCGCTTAATGGCCACTGTCATCAATAAAAGTTATCTGTACACAATCACATTAAAGGAATACTCAGCAGTTAACTCAATTCACATGTTAGCGATTCTCTCAATGGTACTAAGGTTAAAATGATTTCTGAGCATTATTTATCGGGAAAATTAATTCCTGTGGACTGGAAATATATGCAAGAAGGTATGTGTCAGGAAGCCTTACTTGACATAGGTTTCTTGCTGTTTGGTACCCATCATCAAGGAGTGCATTCAGCTATGAGAAAATCGACTTTCCCTCAGTGATTCTCCTTTGTTACGCTTAAAGGTCCTACCATTAAGGTATTCAAGCGGTAACTGACCTTTAGTAGGATGGTTTTATATGTACAAGTTAACAAAAAATTTGGTCCTAAGTACTCATAACTGATCAAAGTTATCATTAAATATAATACAACTCTGTTGTGTTTATCAGCTTATTGGTCACGCTGAAAACTTCATCTGCAGGCTTCAACTAGTGCAGAGTACAGTGGACTAGTTAGCTACACAGGTTATTCAATGTTAACCTATTCATTGACTTTCTAAGATGAAGTTCCAATCAACTGTAACGTTTAAATAACTTCAAACTATCCCTGTTATTGCATTAGTTAACGTTAATTGAGGCGAATGCTGATTATGGCAAACGCTGTCTAATTGCGTAATCCAAATGAACTTTGTATCTCGATACGGAACGACAAAGCAGCTAAAATAACAAGTTAAATCAATAAATCTGATGAAAAAATGAGAAAGAATTAAAAGACTAATAGATGAAAATATACACACCTATCAAATGACTGAATTCATATAGTCTAGTGATAGGAAGCGGTTCAAATGAAAATCAACATTTTAAGTCAACTGATAGATGTTTATGCATTTCAGTTTTTCTTAATGTCTCTGTGTAGTCAAGACAAACCTATTTGGATAATTATGTCCTACAGTTGACCAATCAAAATACACTATTTACTTTTTGACCTAGTGGTTTTATATTTTCATGAAAACTATATAAATAATGTATTGTTGTAGAATAATATGTCTTCCTTACAGATATAGACCAGTTTTTTTCTATATTTTCGTGGTTCACTGAAGTATAAGTTTCTGAAAGAGAATAGTCACTATTCGTAACCAGTCGAAGTGCTTGATTGCTTCAGTATCGCTCAAGTATTACTTATTATTCACTTGATTAGTTCATCTAGATAAATCTGATAATCTAAATGTTTCACTAAGACGACTTTTCATAACTTTTGTACTACCTTCTGAATTATTCTTAATCATAAATTGGCTGTTTAATCAACGACTAATCATGACACGATACCAGTTCTTGGAGTCTTTGTGTGTTAGCCTGATCTGTTTCACAAGATGTAGGTTACATGATAGTGGACCTGAAGAAAACAGAATTCCCTGACTGGAGAATCTTGGTGAAGTCGCTACAGATCGATGAAAATAGCGCAGATGTATCCACTGCTTCTTCTGTCCTAAGTCTTGAAAACTTTTATTAACACTCATCTATTTTTATTTTTGCCTGTCACACACTCTTATCCATTTAAATTTCGTTTCCTTTGCATCATTATATTGTTTACATACTTTCGTGAAGTGTGACAACTGATACGATTTTGCGTCCGGTTTTACTGTGATTTGTGGTTTATACATGGTGTCACAACGCTATGGTTCTTATTACTCACCAACAACAGAAGTTTAGACAAACTTTGGAAATAAATGATTCACATGTGATTTATCGGAGATGTGATAGACTTTCCTCTATGAATCCATCCTAAAGCCAAAGTCCTGATGATGTTTTGAGTATTATGTTTAGAAATGTACAGATATTTTATGTCATCCCGTCACACATATCTTCAATGCATCTTCTTCTAAAAACGCGAAACCCGCTGCTTGGAAGGAGATCAAAGTTGTACCTGTGCCTAAGTCACCTTCGCGATCAGATTTTACGTTACGTTCCATCCCTATAACTTCCCCTTTTTTGAAGACAATAAAGAAATCAATTCTACTTGTGATTGAGTCTTCATTGAAGGTTCCTAGAGATCCATAACAGTTTGTTTACAAATAAAGGAGAAGAATCTCAGATGCTGTCATTATCTTGCATCATAATATTGTTTCCAGTCAAGACAAATGTTGCAAGTATGTTCGTTATGCCTTCTCGGATTACTCATCAGCCTTTGACTCTGTTCCTAGACCACCCTTGTTAAATGAGCCTGCCATACTTCATACTGAGATATGGGTTACAAAGTGACTGTATTCTTGTTTTTCTCAAAGGAAACAGCATACTGTCTATGAAGGGAAGCACTCGACTTCATTGCCCACTGAAGCTGGTCTGCCTCAAGTTGTTGTACTCTCTTTGTTTCTGTTCCCTTTCTTGTTGTATGATACATCTTATTCTGTTGAACCTAATTTTATTAAGTATGCTGATGACCCGATGGTGTCTATTCCAGTCAACTCTCACTTCTATCGCTCTGAAATAAATGGATTCGTGTTTATGTTTGACCAATGGTCTCTCTCAAATGGTCTCATATAAGACTGTTGATGTTAGCTTCAGGCGTGAACAAGACAGACTTGTTTGAGCTGCCTAAGTCCCATGACACCTGTTGCGTTGATGGTATCTGTGCAGAAAGTAAATTGAGTGTTAATTATCTTGGATTGAGTTTGACTTCTGACCTTTGTTGGTCGTCTCGTACTTTGTTGACTTGTAAAAATATCTTTCGTTCAACGTATGACATGAAGAAAATGAGGCTCTTTGGTGTAACTTAACTTCTACTTTTACAGTTTATTAATTCCTGCATGTTACTTATTCTCCTGTATTGTTCCTCGTTGATGTTTCCTGGTCTACTGAAATACGTCTATTTTATTTTATGTGGGACTTTGAAAGCCTTGGGTTAGTTGAATTTTGTGGTTAATGATCCCGGCATGTATTGTTAATATGGGGTTTGGGCAGTGATTTAATGATCATTAGTTTGAATTCAGTTTTACCAGCGTTCCTTTTTTATTTCATTCATCTGGAGTAGTTAAATTGAATGGATCTTTATAATTCAACTTGTTTACCCAATGTTACACTAATACAGAATTAGCGCTTTCAAAATCATGTTCATCATTGGCCAAATCAATGAGATAGTCATTGAAAACCTGTTGGAAATAGACAGATGTTTCGTCTTAGTTTGAATTTGCATATCAGTTCGTATTAGACCGTCTTTGAATTTCTTTCCGTATATTTGGAACCAAATAGATTCTCCAACAATTAATTAATCGCTGGAGTTACGCATAAAATCCAGTAGGCAGGAATTGTCTGAAATGCAGTTCTTTGTGAATGGATAATAGTAGATATTAAACTACAAACCTTGGATCGTGAGGTATATCTCGGCTTGTAGCCACCAATGCACTTCACACTGAGTGCGTCAGCTGTTTATCGGAAAGGTTTTGTCCATAGCAAACCAAAGAGGGAATATGAAGGTCGCACGTATGTTCAGACGATGAAGTAATGACATGAGACAGACAATTTTTCGAGGTTACATAGAACATCAAGAGGTTACGAAATAGATCCCCGCCTCAATGTGAAACGGGAAAGGAAATCCCATTTAAAGATGTTAATTGATGAAGAAGATATGACTAAACAGAATTAACAGCCGATTTGAGGATGTGGTAACATTGAAGGAAAACATGAATTATGCTATTGTCATGATACTTGAAATTCGCCGTTGCTATACATGGTCGAATCACTTGACCTCTGCTGGCAGATGGGCTCTTATGCAGATGCCTCGATACTGTTGAATATTCATGATGGGATATTGATCTTGGTGATTAGCAAAGGAATCCAGGACATCTGTTTCTTCTTACTTGAGACTCATCATCTGAATGTACCGGCAACCCAGTGGTTATTGTTGTTCCCAGTGTGTCTGGAACCCAGTATATATCGCTTCAAATGCCATAGCGTTATCCACTAAGCCACTGGGGTAGAGATACATTTAAGTGACGAGTACCAAATGCGCCTAAACACATGTCCTGGATACCTTTGTTAGTCACTAAGATCAATATAACATGATGAGTATTTAACAGTATCGAGGCATCCTCATAGGAATCCATCTACCAGCAGAGGTCAAGCATTTCGGCCTTGCTTAGCACCGGGAAATTACAAGTACCATAAGGACAACTCATACGTGTTACACAAGAGGTGGCTATTGTGCCCAAATGGCTCAGTCGATAACGCTCTGGGGTTTGAAGTGATGGGTACTGGGTTAGAGTTTCAATGGAAAAAGCACCACCCACTGGGGTGCAGGGACACCCAGCTGACAAGTCCCAAATAGGACGAAATGCGCGTCCTGGTATACTCTGTTAGCCACCAAGATCAATATTACACTATGATTTATGCTACTCAACAACACTAAGTAGTATGAAACTAAAGACCTAAAAAGGGACACAAAGTTAACAAGTTTTAGGCGAAGAGAATGTAGGAAAGGAATTAACACCACTATTTTTCACTGTGAGTACATTTCCAATGAATCACTGAATCGAAGCCAATTCGTTCACCTCATTCAACTTCTACCGATTCATGATATAACATAACCACCTTGCAGTGTCATCTGTGAGCCTTTTTTTCAACATCCGACTTGGTTAACTTCATAGGCTCCAGCTTATCAGAATTTCAGTTCATCCATGTCGAATTATCCCAATAGCAAGACAAGATATTGTCATAGTTACACATCCGAAAATTGAGTTGAACTACTAAATAAGTTTTTTTTCTTTTTGATGAAATTATTTCCAATTAAGACAGAAACAAATGATGAATATCATAGATTTATTGTTGAAACGTGGTGCAAATCCAAATACCGGTATTCGACCATTACCAGCATTATTTTTAGCTGTACAAGCCGGTGACCCAGATATGGTCCGTAAATTGATACATCATGGAGCTGATACAAATATATGCCTAAGGGTAGATGTAAGTAATAATTGTTTGGAAGGATTTTTATTATTCTGCTATTTTTTACTTGGTTAGAATCAATTCGCGGTAATTCCTGTTAGGATTCGTCAACAAGGTGTATGTGACCTTGGGGAAATTGATGTCACTCGTGAAATTCAAAACGGCATCACTCAATGTTGCAGCTAGCAACATTACCACTGAGTTCTTCAGTTCACGATTGGTCTTATGTAGGGATGGATTAGATACGCTAATTGATGACTGGAGAGCAACCAATTTCATTTTATCCAGAACTCAGTGCTCCAACATTGTGTAATCCGGTTTAACATTTCACAGCGGACATTAGTTCCTTCCAGTTTGCATATAAGCCTCATTGATGATTATCATCAAGCACATAACATAGGCGGAGTTCAGCTTCATGTCGATGATCTCCAACCAACTAACATTCATTCATTTAAGAGCGAAAACATTTAAGTTACTGGAGTTATTTTAGAGTTCAGTCATTCAGTTAGATTGGTCATTGTCACCATAAGATCTGAGAGCACTGCTTGCTAGTTCATTTAGCCTCCCCTCAGCCCAGCATATGAAAATACAGGACTACAAGATAAAAAAATTGAAGGAATGAAGAAAATGTCAGTGAAAGTCGTAAAACCTCTTGAAATGAGAAGCGAGTAAAGATAAGGCAGATAGTGAAATGTTATATGGGGATCAGGATGTGAATAATATGTGAACTAATCTGTCCCAATGAAATCGATTCTGTGACATATCACCTAAAGTCTATCAACAAAAATTTCAATTGTACCATGAAACTCAGTCATTCAAGTTAATCAACCTCAAATCTCAGTTGTCCGAAAGATTTTAGCGAAATGTCTTTTTTTTCGGTAATTTCATTCTCAAAGATATACAATCACAAAATGATACTGTTCAGATGTGGAGTTGTGAAATCGATTAAAATACTTAACGATTGGTAGTCAAGAGTTGAGACGATTCAACTCAAGTGATTCGCAAAGAGAAATCAAAAGACTGGAAAACAGATGAGTTTGTAGTATCTTGAACTGAAAACGTTAGTAAGTAAAAATGGGTCCTATTTATAGGATTTACAATAACCTTGAAAGACAAGCAGCCAATCAGAACAATAGCGCGTTGTACGAAATACAACTCATACACGAGAAAAGAGCACGCAATAAACCAGTTAAAATATATACAAGCTGCAAGTATGGAATATAAGGGATATAGGCATCCCCAACAGATATATTGTGCTGGTGTTAGTGTTTGATAGTTAAAAGTAGTTTATCAAGCATGGCAACAAATATGTCGTGAATAAATTAGCTGCTATTGAAATCAAAAAGCAATGATGAGTGATGAAGCTTAATCAAAATGTCACTGTGGTTATATATAGATTACTATATTTGGATTAGAAGTTTTACAGCATGACAAAATATTTGGAAAGTAAAGTTTGATCAAGAAACGCGTAGCAACAAGAGTAAATGATGAATCACACAGCAGGTGAATAGCGTACGAATAGAGGTGATTTTGAAGACTTTAAAATAAGACGACGAAAGGTGAAAGGGTTGAATAACACATCACTACTGTAAATTCGTTTAATGTGAGTGGCAAGAGATATGACTAAATTTCTCAAGAACCTCATTATTCAAAGTCATACGTAAGGTGAAAAAATACCTTCTGAAGCCTACATGTCTTCATATTCTCTGCATCACCGAAGCTCTTGTCATCCATATAGAGAAAGCTGAACTGTGTACGCTAAAGAAGATTGTCCAACCCCTTATCTTTTCATGGTCTTGGTAATCTTTTCACAAACAGCTTCAGTTATAATGTAGGTGCAAAACTTGGGCATTGTGGTAGATTGTAATTCCATTTTAGTCTGTTTATTAGAAATGTCACACAGTGAAGAAACAGCAGCATTTACAGGACACAATTTATTGTCCATATTCATACCAAGTAACTCCACAACTTTGAGATAGAGTTTATATTGTCCTGATTTTTATCTCCATCTCTGTGATCACAAGGGTAGTAGAATTTCCCATATATCTGGGAGAAGAGCAGAATCATTTCTATCATATTTATTTGGTGTCGATTCGATAAAAAGAGATTTGGTTATCAATCTATCCCTCCACCTGACTAAGTCAGTTTTTAATACTGTCGCTCGATCCCACCTTACTGTGTGATTGTGTGTAATTGCATGAAGAGGTATAGCCGAGCATTTTTCATTCTAAATTTATTATCTTATTAGAATCTACTAATCTTGATTTTGTCAAGGTTTTGTGTTGTGTTATTCTAATCTACCCTTGGTCGATTGCCTATGTATTTAACCTAATAATCATTGGAAAGGATTCGGTGAAACAGGTTATTCTGCTTAATTGTATCAGTAGGATATTTTAAACTACAAAGCTTGTTTCTAAGCGAGTTACTTGGTTTAAATGCTACTTTAATCACAACCAACCTTATTGAGAATTCTTCATAATGCTTCTGAGGTGCCTTTCTTTTATGGTAACACAGCAGAGGCTTTGAATTCCTTCTCAACCCTGTTGCCATTATTACCATTAGTAGTATTACTACTACTACTACTACTACTACTACTGTTAATATTTTTCTTTAGATTTCCATGCATTTATTTATGAGTTTGAGTGGGTAGTTATTGAGATGCAAGGTGTTCTTGATATGTCTGATTGCTTGTTGTAGATTTTCTGGTCTACTAGTAAGCTGCCCCCCACCCCCATCACTTAGGCATTTAACTAAGTCTGCTTTAACTGAGATGGGGTGGTGGGAGGATTTGAAGTCTAAGTAGCAATTCGAATGGGTAGGTTTCCCATAGATACTAGTCTCTAGACTTCCACCTTATTTTCATTTAATCTTGCAATTCAACATTGTTAGCTCACCTTCATCATTTTCTATGTCACAGGTAAATTGGATTGCATTCACTACTGAATTTATAAGTGTTAAGAAACTACTGGCATGTTCCGATTTCAGTATTGTACGCGTATCATTTACATATTGGAACGATATCTTTGGAGTAGGACTAAATGTTTGAAGGGCCATCCGTTCCCAGCTATAGATAAATTTGCTTGCGATGATAGGGGATATTGATGATTCCACGTCAACCCCTTCAGTTCGTTCATATACTTTATTTTGAAACTTAAAAACTGTAGATGTTAGGCACAATCGTACTCCTAGTATGATTTCTTCGATAGGCACCTTAGTTCGATGCGTAAGTTCTTTGTCATGTTTAAGCTCATTTCTAACTGCCTCTTGAGCCATGTCGATCGGTATATTCATTTAAAGGTTAGTTATGTGAAAACTAACCATTTTTTCATTTACATCTAAATGTATATCATCTAATCTATGCTTTAAGTCATAAGAGTTAATGAGGCGGGATTTTGAGTAATTTCTTATTGAGCCTACCATCATTGCTAAATATTTAAACAACTCGTAAGTTGAAGTGTTTGTTATATCCCCTATAGATCTGTTGGGATAACTTGGCTTATGAATTTAAATAGTACCATACATTCTACCGGGATTATTAGTTTTCAGCATTAAATTAAACCATTCTGACTCACCTAGAAACAGCTTCATTCGGCTTACCAGATCCCCTTTGGATTTCTTAACTTTATTCGTAATAGTACCCTCTGATTTCTTAATTTCTTTATGTGTTCCTGTTTCTATGTGCTCATTCACTTTGCAGATATAGTCAGATTTGTTTATTATAACTGCTGAGTTGCCTTTATCTGATTTGGCAATTACTATATTGCTATCCTTTTGAAGGTTCATGAGAGATTCTCTTTCTGGCTTGGGTAAACTAGGTTTCATTTTCTTCTGTCGTATCAGTCATATTCTCATTAGTCTTTACCATTCGTCACAGTTTCTTATTTTGATGACAGTTCATTCATTGATATTACTTTCGTTGCCCTGTTAGGGCTTATCGAGAGTTGTCGTTAGGATTGACAACAACTAGTGGTGTCCACATGGATGTCCATTATCACCATTCCTCTTTAACTTCATTACAAATGTACTAATGAACACAACTTCATGCACGTTAGACTTCACAGGGATTAATCTACTCCCCTACTCAGAGGTAATCTGGTTGACTTGGATTATTCGGACTATATTATCCTTCTGTGTCTTCTTAAAGCGATGACCAGAAATATGGGTGTGTTTGACTGGCATGCGTTTTGGACCTATGAAATGTAGGTGAATGCTCTAAGACTGGTCTGCAGCCACTTCCGAATTCATGTTTGGGAGTTGAATCAACTCAAACAGGCAGGTTGCTGACGAATTTTCAGCTAACATGCAGAAGGCCCGTTTGGCATTTGCCAACTTGCATCATCTCTGGCACCAACTAGAAAGATATCGGACTGGTGTTAGTTGGTTGGAAGCGATCGGCAGAAAACCTTGGACCCAAGTTTCGTGCTTGTTGGGACTCATCAGCAAGGCGTATCTGCAGCTTTGACAGAACTCGTGTCCCGGTTGAAGTGATTGCAATATTTTGAACTCAGATGTCTTTTTAGCATTACCCACCGTGTGAGAATTATCTACGTCAGACGAAAGGTAATAGACAAATAATTCGATTAATAAGATTGTGAACCTTAGTCGATTGAGATGGCTTGAACATTTACTGCGCATGACAAGCCACTTCCTACCTCGATGTGCCATGCTAAGGTAAGTTGGATAAGGTTGAAACAGTGATTAAGATGGCTAAAGTAAGACCTGACAACCTACGATGAAGTCAGTGACCGCTGGTCTTGGTCATGTAGGGAGATGTAGACTCCCTGGTTGAGGTCCTCGAGACGAAAGAAAGCAGTGGTTGAGGACTCAGGGTAACATGGCTGCGAATTGGTCAAAACAGAGCAGGTGTATTCACTCTTTGACTTCTAAATCTTGAATATTCGCTCTGACTGTTACCTTGAAATCGTTTATTATCTCACACAACTTTGTCTACTTTGATGTCACTCTTATTCTATCAACATCTTCTTTGTATACTACTATGAAGTGTAGCAACTTGAACTAGTTCACCTATGTGTGAGGTTCTACGTTGATTTTGCCAGTCAGTCAGTCAACCAGATATACCATTTTAGGTGTACTGCCACTACTTTGCGAGTCCAAACCCAAAATCCTTATGTTTACTAACAAGCTGGTGGATTAGCGAAAGCGAATCAAGTTTTTGTCACCTTCCCAAATGTGACTGTTGAATCACTGACCAATTTACTAAATATGAACAGATGGAAGAATACATGTAGATTTTTATAACATTTCAATGGTTTTCCAACAGAACAACTGTGATGCCAAAAGGATTTTCGCTAATCAACGTCCAACTGCAATCAAAGGATGTTGTCTATCACACACACAGATAAAATAATTGATAAGAAACCAAACTAGCCTTTCATTGAAGCCAGCTAATCAGACTAAGTATCCCAAAATATTGTCCCATTTCTTAATATCCCAAAATCTATGAATCCACCAGGGTTAGATAATGTGAAAACAGGAGATAACGTGAAGTACTCACAAGACGGGTTGTATTGGATGGTTAAAAAATGACAGTGTTCAATAACAATACAATTAAACAATGATTGAATTAAAGAGTGAATGTAAAATATATCATGATATACAAAGTGGAGTCTTTGATACATGCTTACTTGTAAACCTTGGCTACAGAGCATTCAAGCATCGGAAGACATCTAAGAGTGAATACACCTGTACTATTGAGACCGATTTTCAGTCATATCACCAAGAGTCGTCAAACTTTGCTTCCTATAGTATCAGGGACCCTAGTCACATAGTCTTCACCTCTATAAATGACCCAAACAGACAGTTTGAGACTTAATGCAATAATGCCACTTGTTTGTCCGGTCACTCTGAACCCCCTTTCCAAATTGATCCAACTTCTTTGAATAATGCATGTCGAGGTAGGCGATGGCTTGATATGTACAGCACATGTCCAAGTTATCTCATTCAATGAAGGTTCACAGTTTCCTCGATTAACTAATACTTTTTACGGGCCGGTATATTACCCACATGGTGATTCTACCAAAAATGAGCAATGCTACAAAGACATCATTCATCAAAACCCTGTAGCCGCTTCATATCTTCTATGTTTAAGGGCCAAACCGCACACACGTATGACAGGACAGAACGAACTACAGGACAGTCAATGTGTAGTACTGATTTGGAGTCAAAATTTTTCAACTCATCGTTTATTTCCAGTTATTTCAACTAGATTTGACCAAATTAAAGTAAATTCGTATGCAGACAATTCTGCAGTTACAACATATTCTGGAGATTTTTTGAAAAGTGATGAAGCTCTGTGATAAGAGACATCATCAAACATTTCATACTGTTGTAGTGAACACTGGGTTCTGCATAAGAATATTATTTGACGGTTGTGATAGGGATTCTTAGTGCAATTCTTATTCTCGTATAAACTCTATTCATCATTTTGTCCGCCTTGATAGTGAAACAAAGAAAAACAAGTTTCTTCTGAAGATTATCAGATCAAAATGCTACTAATTTTCAAAGAGTTATAGTGGCAAATAATTCCTCAAAATCAGTAGCTTAGGGTTGGATGAGCTTCAACACTGATGGTGGTATTTATAGTTTTAATGAACTAGTTCAGTTGAAAGTGTGTGATCAAGCATCCTCACCGTCTGGAACATTGTGATGCTATCTTGCGCTACTCATACTCCATTCTCTAACCAGTTAGTCGGAACTTAACGGTTATTTGATACAATCGATCAAATGTACTATTCTACCAGGCTACTCTGTTGTGTTCTTTACTAGTCTCTCAATCGTGGGTGTATAACAAGTATAGATAACTAGTGACTGATCTTAGCGTCTGTCAACTTCACGTATGATCAGTTCCTAAATTCGTGAGCTCTTTCCTTTTTGCACTTGTAAATTTCTGTTTTTATATGGAGAACTTTTGTTTACTCATATCATAAACTTTCGTATCCATGCTTTACCAGACTCGCAAACTCACCCACATTAAACCAACAACGTACTCGATCCAGCTCGTGCCATACTGGCCAGAGAAAGCAGGAAAGTGGTTTCTGTATGCTAAAGCTGACTTTCGAGAGCAAGGCGTCTTCTCAATTTCTTGCTGTCTTATGATTATAATCGCTGGAATTAAATAGGCACTTCAAAGCATATATGTCTAACTCTGAAGTTAGTGATCTATATACAGTGTTAAAAGTAGCGCTTCTGAAGAAAAGCAATGTCACAGATAGTCAGCGTTTAGATGAGTTGCTGTGTAACGTGCAGCTAGGGGACGACTCAACTACTTACATGTTCACCCGCATACGAGCGAGCGTTCAACAGTGGTTTTCTGCTTGAAGTTTCCCTATCGAAACTGCCATAATCGGTGCAAACCGTACCGATGACACTTCAGTCGGTTACTGTCGATGACCTGACAGCACCGGCTGATTAAATACTGGAGACCTCTAGCAGACCTGCCTCAAACATATATTCTGCCATCCGGAAACCTAAGGTGCAGGATTATGAAGTGACAGAACTATGAAACTCTGCTAAGCAGCTTCTACGAAGTTGTAAGCCCTAGGTCACAACTTACAATGCAGAAACAGGCTTTGTTCCATTGTAGCATTTCACATAGGCGTACAGCAGCTGGGTTTCGCTTGGGCGAAAATCCTAAATGGTGCTGGCTCCATAACAACTACGGCGAAGAAGCCAGGAATATTCGAAAGCCGTGCACTTTCCACAAAGACTGCATGAAACGGGGAAACTGCGTCGCTGACACGCGTTAACAGAAACCGTAGCTGGGGAAAAAAGCTGTTTGTTGTACGTCACTGATGTGAAAAATAAAGTTCACTGCCTCTTCAACACTGATGTGGAAGTTAGCGTTCTTCACGTAATCACAAACTAACTTCGTCATCAACCGACCATCAATCTACAAGTGCGAAACGATAAAACGATTCCAACCTTTGAACAAATATATGCCTACCTCGCCTGGTTAACTAGTTTACTAGTTACTAGCCGGTCCTAAGCCCGGGTAAAGAGGGAAGGTTGGGCATAGGGCTAGCAACCCTACCCCGTAAAACAAATCTAACCGCTAAAGAAACTTCAAAGCACAAACAAAATATAAAAAATGAAAACAAAATCATTCCTCACTGGAATCGGAGAGGCGAAATGACGCCAGTTGGTGAAAGCCTTCGGGAAGCCAATTGGCCGATGTGTCTTCTCTCGATGAAAGCGAAAGCAAACGTGGGACATGGAATGTCAGTACGATGTTTGAACCCAGTAAGGCAGCCCAGATTGCAAAGGAGATGAGAAGGTATCACATCGAAGTGCTTGGGATTTGCGAAAGCAGATAATAATATCATTTTAGGTGACTCAAACCTATTCATGGGATATTTCTTTCAGTTGATGTTTCTATGCTCATAATTGGCATGGATTTGCTGAATCATTATGACCTAGTGATAGGTGCTGGTCGACGACGACCATTTTGTTTCACACATCTGTCGATGAAATGAAATGCTTAAACCCCTTTTTGTTAGATGAACATAGTTTTCTAACTCATAAGACAAAAACTGCAGGAATGGAGATACTATCCAAAGCATGTTTCTTTTCTGTAGACGTAACTATGACACAACCCTTTATCCTCTAAGTTGCAGTGGTACATCCAAAAATGAAATTTCTTGCTTATCTCATGTTCCATACTGAAACGACTACACATAGATATCTTCATTGTAACGCGACTGTTTGTAATGCTCATCTTTTGTAATTTATTATAAACTGCATATATACTTCTTTTTCCACTCTCCATAACAGAACCCATTGAATTCGGAAAACGTTATTTCACAAGGAATTTGTATTGATGAAGATGAGACTCCATTAGTACCAAGTTTAGATGGTTTAACTGTTCTACACTATGCTGTTCTAGTCCCTGATGAAATGGGTGTAAAGTTGACAGAAATCCTACTCAAAGATGGTATGGCTGATCCAAATAAACAAGCATCATTGGATGATAGCTTTAAACTGAAAAGTCAATTCACCAGGGGAATCCAGTCTGGAAATTCCAGTGTATGTTTCTTTATTCCCATGAATGATTATATACGGAGAATTTTTCATACATTTCAGTAATATACGGTACATGTCTTGTATATTTTTGGTATATGTACATATATCCCTTTTCATTCATTATGATTTGTCTGTTGTTCATCTGAGTTTTACTTTTCAACCTGTGCAAGGTTATGAAACATAAGATGTTCATGATTTACTGTGAAGTATGTCTTCATTCTATCTTACGAGCTGTGACTGTGACATTGGCTATGAATGACCAAGAGATACTTTGCGGCTGATTGGTTCATTTAGTTTCCCCATATCTGTTAATTAAAAAGTGATTCATAATGAGTTCCTTTTTTGATTGGTAGATACGGCTTAGTTAAGTGACTGACGAAACAACCAATCACGTTCCTCCATTTTATGAAAGATTGTTTTCTCAGCCGAAATATCGTAACCTGATTGGTTATTTTGGCAGTTGTTAGGATGGCTTTTAAAGTCTCCCGCATTGTTTGACAGGATACAGATTCGCAATTTTGGCTGCAATATTTCCAATCACCTTTGAACGAATTCAAATATTTATCCACTCATGTAAATAAAGCAACTAGTGTTCACCTAGTTGGAGATGAGAAAGACGGTCAATTAACTTGAGTAGTAGATATGTAGTTCATAATGACATTTCATGCGTTTTGCTTAACTGCTTACTTGGAGCCTGTTAACGATGCAAAGGGTTGATAGGCATAATAGTTTGAAAAGAAAATCAATTTTAAGCGATCTACTAATGACTTTTAAAATATTGTTGGCATATAAGGTGCTCAAACCTTTTCGCTTACTACTGATATGTCTTTTTCGCAGTCCTTCGTGATTGTAAAAGGTGGGGTATACTATAGACAATGTTGTTTGATCTTTCTCTTCGTAGATGCCCTTCTAGGTCCACACTCCTCTGTATGCAATCTACACACAGCTCATTTTGAGTGTTCTGCTACTTTTTTGTATATTGAGCCGCGGTGAGATTTTGGGCAGCAGCCACCGGGCTGCCTGTGGATTAGGAAGTTCTGTTTATGTTCCACTGATGGCTGATTGGGATTTAACGGAATATCCAAAACAGAGTTATAGTTCTTTGATGTAGGTGTTTGACTTTCACTTATTCGATCAGATAGACAGTCAGCACCAACAGAGAACCTCTCATGAAAGTGCATAAGCCGAAGTTGCCACACTTCACCAGAGTGAACAAAGAAAAAGTGAAAAGAGAGTGGTGTCAAAGAAGATAAAGTAGTGTGAGAGAATTAGCAATCTGATGATATTGGTTCGTGAAAATATTTAAGTTTTAGAAGACGTCAAGGGGTGAATACATCTGAGCTCTTGTGACAGATTTTAAGCCATATCAACCCCTCATTCATTTGGTCTCAAGGACCTCAACCAGGCAGTTTGTTTTGCCCCGGAACGACTCAGACCAGAAGCATAGGATTTCATCGACTGGTAACACGTATTGCTCTGGTCACCCTGAACCCTCTTCCAACCTAGTTCAACTTTCTCCAGCATGGCATGTCAGGGTAGGCGGTGGCTTGGGATGCACAGTACATATCCAATCCATCTCAGCCAACTAATGTTCACAACCTTATCAGTTGACTTGCTTGTCTTGCGTAATACCGTTCATCGAACCTCAATACTGCTCACATAGGGATTCCGCTAAACGCGAGCAATACTACGCAAACATATGTTGTCAAAACCCAGTAATCGCTCCATAATTTTTACTTCTAGTGGCTGTGTCTCAGCTTTACAACAGAACAGAATAAGCTGCAGCACAGTATACTTGTCCTTTGATCAGTGCGATGAACACTATCCAATGAGATTTGTCAGTTGAATTCAGATTAACAAGAATCACAGTGGGAGAATGTTGGAAGATCGACTATAAGAAAAGAGATTAGATTCAGTATTAAAAAACTAGTATAACAACATAGTAAATATCATACTGATTATCATTTTTACTATCTGAAATAGACGTAGTTTGGCAGTCTAGTATGGATACTGGGTGATGATTGAAGACGAAATGAGAATCTGCGCTGCGGCCGGAGGTGAACCAGTGACCGAGTTTCCGGCTCGATGCCCTACCAAAGGAGCTAAGAGGTCTGACTGCTGACCACATTTTATTTCACCTCAATCACTATGGGTTTTGCCCGACTAAGCATCGGGGCGGAAAGCCGGTGGTCGCTGGTTCGAATCCGCCCGTGCTTCAAATTTTCATTTCACCTTCAATCATCATCCAGTATAAATACCATATTGGTAAAGATGACTCATTTTTGCCTTCTAGCCGCATTTTTCTCTGGCATTCTTGTAATCCGTCGTGTTTCTTCTTTCAGAATGTTCAACGGTTGGTCACTTGTTTTTATGACTTTAAAAGGAAGCGTCAAAAAGTCTTCTGTTACTATTACTACCACTAACACTACTACTACTACTACTACTACTACTACTACACAGACGGTTGCTGATCAATCAGTGGCATGTATTCTCAGTAGTATTATTATACTTTACACAGTAGATGTGACTTATAGCAAGTATATGTATGTTGTAATAGTTTACTTTTCGATGTAGTATACTGCACTATGGCTTGTATTCATGACATTTATTTCAATTGTTATTCTTGGCTACTTCCTTATGTCTCCATGATATGCATGCAACCTCCTGAAGCAGAACGATAATACGCACCGTATTCTGTGTAGACTTTTAGTGTGAGTTAGTCCTTTCATTTACCTTCTGAATGTGGTCACACTGTGTAGGATATCTTCAGGGTATATACATTCAAGTTTATGGCATCAAAAAAGTTGCATGTTGTTTTATTGTGTGTGTCTGTGTATGTGATGTGTGCTACTGTGATGAACCACATTTTCTAATATCTCCAACATATTGTAGCAATCTCTTTTTAAATTTAGGTATGTGTTCATTGTTTGTTTTTTTTGTTAGGAGATGAATTCTGGCAAATCGACACCTGATGAAAAGAAAGTCAACGAGGGAAGAACTCCATTGCATTTAGTTTGTTCCCGGGAATATGATCTAATCGTAAATTATTGGTGTTTTAAAATATTTATGTAAAAAATTAACCACACTATATATATATATATATATATATATATATATATATGAGCCATTTTGTCGAATAAAAATGTTTCTGTTAGTATCGTAGATGATAGGAACAGGTGTTTCCTTCTGATGGGGTGACTTTAAAGAGCACCTTGACAAGTGATGAATTAATCAATCAGGTTTCAGTATTCCGGCTAGAAAGCTTATTGGTTATCTCAGCGGTTGCCTGGAGTGGTCTTAAAAGTCAATTGCTAATGAGAACATCATTTGTTATCACTTGGCCGAACACTAATTCATACAAGCCTGTTCAAAACACATAAAATGCGAAATTAATAGATTCAAATACAAAGAAACCCTTGACTCAGGTGGAAAGGTAAACATTAGTCAGTTGGATCAAGATAACCCAAGTCTAACACACCAAGCTCCTATGACTAAGCAATCAACACAAAAAAGAACTCCCCTCTTCTGGTATGTCAATGAAATCAGACATAACCTTTTAAGATTTCCTATCCTTTCCAAAGCTTACAGTTGTCCTTATTTAGGAAACGACAAAACGGAGACGCGAGAAAGAATGTTTATTATTGACATCTTGTACAGTAGTCATCAAATATGGTACACCTTGCACTAAGATAGTCATTCGCAAAATATGCTTCATTTCCTCTTCTGCTTCTATCTCAGTTTGCGCTTAATACACCCACATTGTCTCTTGGGTTTCTCTCGGCAGAATCTTTACCCACTGCTGGTAACTGCCTATGATTTCTACCACCCTCCAAGCATATACTACTTATATCCATTCTGATCAGTAACGCCCTTTACACCCATCTCCCCTTCAAAATTTCGGGTTTGCAGCCGTGTTGATCGTTTTGGCGCTGTCTTCTCTTGGTGTTCATGCAATGTTTCTTCATTTTTCACCGCTGCCATTTTTGAAGTAGGCTGGCGTTTACTCTTTTCTCCTTATCTCCTTTTTTGATGGTATAAACTGAACCACGTTTCTAGCTAACGATGTATGGTCCTTCCCAGTTTGGGAGCAGTTTTCTTCTACCATAATCATCTCCGACCTCAAAAGGTTTCAGTTTAATTCCTTCTCCCTGCTCGGATTTTTCGGCATCAGCCTTTTGTTTCCGATCCTTATTTCTGATTGCCTGTTACCGCTCATTTCTCAATCTTGTCATGTTCCATAGCTGTTGTTGGGGTCAGGTCTTACTATGTATTGGTAACCATGGTTTCCTGCCATAAATTGACTGGAACGATGACTTCTTGGTTGTTCCTTGTACCGAGGCACGATGCGCTAATAATATTAACGACGGTTCCGTCTCCGATCCCCTCCTTTCAAAGTCAGCTACTCCTTAAGGGTACGGTTATTCCGTTCAGTCAAAAAGTTAACCGGCGGGCGGTATGGTGTCGTTCTTATGCTCTTGGTATTAGGTCGCTCCAAATAGGATTTTAATGCATCCTTGTCAAAACAAGGACCTTGATCGGTTAGTATCATCTTTGGCATACCGTGCTCCGCGACAATATGCCTCATCACCGCTGCAATCACTGTCTTCGCACATTTATCAGGAGTAGCGATGGCATCTACCCATCGTGTATCATGCTCCGTCATCACTGGCAGGTATTGGTTTCCATTAGATGTTCTCAGAAATGGTCCCATTACGTCCCACTACACTTAGGCCAATATCTGATGTAATGATGAATTCATAGTGTCTGTGACAGTTGTTTGGCTAATAACTATTTTTATATGCAGAAATAATATCATATTATTTGTTTTGGTTTTTTGAGAATATTGTGGTTTTAATTATGTTTTTTCTTCTCCTCTTAGAACTCAGCTACCATAGCAAAATATCTACTAAAGCATAATGCCAATCCGAATTATTATGTAATGGTCATTCAGCATTGAGTATTGCGATAGCAACTGGAAATGATCCAGTAAGTTATGAGTTATCTTGACTTTTAAGAACTACATAAATCATTGAAGTGTTGATTATTGGAGAAATTGAATGGTAGTGTCCGCTGTGGACCACTTTGAGACGATGCAACTCCCTAAGAAAATGAATCGATCGACCCATTCCACTACTTTACTGCCCACCATTAAACTGGGAGTGGTTGCAGACCGGTCCTGGAGCATCGTCTTACATTCAAAAAGTGCAGACATACTTAGATTTCTGGTGAAGACGTTTAGAAGACACTGCTTTTCGTCAGTGTTTTCACCTGAAAGAACAATGTCTTTGTTTATTCCAAGTCAACCAAGCAACTTGCTGGAAGTGAGTC